ATCACATACATTAGCAAAGAGGCCAGAAGAAGAATGTAGGGAATGCAGTTAGTAGCCACAGAAACAGTACCCTGATACGCATCCCCGCTGAATGACCTACAGGACAGACCCACGGGTCTCTCCGTCCGTTTCAACGATCGACTCGTGGGCAGTAAAGAGCACAGATGAGTCCAGTGGGATCTGATCCACAGGAGCATTGTATAGACACCAAGAGGTGCAAGATATAAGCCCCAGGTCACAATTGGGTGCAGCCCCTCTTTTTAAAATGTTCTTGGCAATACAAAACGTGTCAGACGTTGCTATAAAAGGGGAATTATGTAACACAAAAAGTAAAATGTGATAATTTAAAGAACACAAACTTTCTTCCTGAAATACTGTCCTTAAAGGGGCAGAGGCAGTGCCATTCTATTCGGTCTTGGCCCCATTTGCTTAGGTGGTCACGAGCCGCCACTGTCTTAGAGTATGCAGTGTTGGAAGACAGGGCGTTTAGTTAAGGATAAGATGTGGTTGGAAGAGGCCATGATCTAATTTAAACTACTCTACCGACATTTACCTGAAGGAACTGGGATAAACCATGAAAGTCTGTCAGAGATTCACCAAGTCTTGACCTCTCACAAAAATACAGGTACAATTATAATTACGTACATTTGATCGTTAGGGCATGGAAAGGTGGCAAGCATTTAGCGAGATAATCCCTCAGACCGCGGATAACCAGGATCATGGAGACCGACCTACTACAACGCGGGTCAATTGTAGAAAATAAGATTTAACTAATATGGTGCTTTCGGCATATGCAGCTTTTTTCATGACTGGACAAGAATATTTTATAGCTTACTGTAGATGCTGAGAAGCTAATTTGATTCCTGTTGCCACCGTACAACTTGATGGGGTCCAGCAACAATGTGCAGAGCTGTACTTTTCGTGACTGTAAAGGTACATTTTGTAGCATATGTAGAGAAGATGTAAAGCTATTCAGATTCCTGTTGCCACCGTACAGCCTGCTAGGGACCTGCAACCATGTGCAGAAGAGCACTATTCACTGATAAGCAGAGATAAAGGTTATGCAAATTTAGCTATGCATTATTTCAGGGCGTTACGGTACCACAAAGTCTGAGAAGCCCGGGCTTATGTCCTTGTTGTGTTCTAGTTTACACACTTGCTCACACCTTCAAACCGACGGGGATCCTCATGAATCCACAGGTGCACAATCTGCATACATTTATCAGTGTTACCGTTTCTAATACTTTCCAACAGCGAACCTAAAGAGATAATAATATAATTTTGTTCGCTCGTGCTGCTACGGACGTGGTAACTGAGTACATTACAGGCTATACTCATTTACTGACTCTTCTTCAAGGAATGCTTTTTGGAAAATTAAATGCCAAAGGGCAAATACCTGCAGTGACATTAGTGAACCAGGGGACAACAACATGAGTTTGGTTGGCATATAACTATTAGCATAAGGTCACTAAAGGGCTTCTTCATTCCATTTCGGTGACAAGAGAACCAACCGTGAGTTTAATATTAGTTAACAGTGATCTACAAATCAGGATTATCTTATTACACGTATAACTAAATAACTACTAAATCCACACAGGAAGAAATTTTTGAGAAGCTCCTCAACAAATATCGCGTCCTTCACAAGAGCTTACCAATGATTCCTGTCCGGAGTGAGACGAAACCAGTCCACACCTCCCACACTATTTATTTAAAGTACGATTACATCCCATCTGCGTATAGGTCTTCCCAACATGTCCTCCCTTCAGGTTTCCTGATAATAACTTGTATACATTCATCATTTCTCCCGCACCTGCTACATGTCCCGTCCATCTCGTCTGCTTTGATTTGACTATCGCGATAATAAGCTGATATGCTAAAGAGTACAAAATCGATGAAGCTCCGTTTCATGCAATTTTCTTTAGTCCCCCCGTGACTTCCTCTCTCCTGCGTCAAGGCAACTTCTTCAGCTCCCTGTTGATATGAGATACGAACCAAAGAGAAAAGGAGCGTAATACATATGAAGGGGCACGCGGGAGCGTAGTTGCTTGAGGCACTAGGCTATAAGCGGGAAGGTGGCGGGTGCGATTCTCGATGAGGTCACTGGATTTTTTCAGTTTACCTAATCCTTCCAGCTGCATTATGGCCCTGGGGTCGACTCAGCATCTAACAGAAATGAGTACCAGGAATCTTTCTGGGGGTAAAGGGCACCCGGAGCGTAAGGCTGACAACCTCACCGCCATCGCTCGGAAATCGGAGTCGTGGGTTGACACCCATACAAGACATGGATGTTTGGTGTATGCGTTTATTCTGTGTTTAGATAGAGGTTTTGCGACGAACTGATCACACGTCCAGGGAGTCCTACCGTCTGCAAATATCATGAAACTGAAAATCAGAGGCCAGGGCCCAAGGGGGACCGTAGAGCCAGAGAAAAGTAAAGCGCATAATGATAGGCGGAAAGGACCAAAACACGTAGCATGAAAATATTTTAATAAACTAAACTGATTTATCGACAATTTGATTGTGTCGGTTACTTATTGAAAGTAATAAGGTTGTTGTGATCGACGGACATATTTACATACTGTCACGTGATTGAGTGACTACTGACAAGATTTAGATTGATAGTCGGGTTTATTGAACGCTTACAGATCCGTGACTACAAGTAATTACAACCGTTTCACTAATTCACACATTTTACAGTTCACTAGAGGAGAGGACACACTTAAGTCCAGCCTGCTGTGTCTTCACCAGTTTTCTGGCAACGGCATCCAACGGCGGACGTTCCCCTTCCTCTGGGTTCCCGAAATGTCCACATGCCTCAGCTACAGCAACTCCCAACCGAGAGAACGACCGACCAACCAATCAAACAACCAACTCTTTTTATTTCACTAGCTAACGGTCCTTCCTATAACATATCGGTACGGATGGCACAGAAAACACCTTCCATTGTTGCTGTTTACAGGCCGTTGCCTAGTTGTCTGTTTCGCAGTCGTTGTCTAACAACAAAGGGTCTACATGCCATAATATTAAGGAACTAGAGTAAATACGTTTGCAAATCCTAAAGGTATGTCTCGTCGTAAACGTGCTACAGAAATAATGTGGTCCGTGCAGCCCTGGTGAAGATATGAATTGACCTGAAACGTAGACCTTCAAACTGTATCTCGGTCCAAGTGATACCTCGAAGTCGGGTGCCTTCAGACCGCTTGGAGGATGACTGGAATGTCAGCTGTTCCTTAAAAAGTGAGGCCGAGGGAATTCATAATTTGGTTAGGTTACTCATTCGGTAAGACGGTGAGGAATTGTGAAGTTAGAGAAGATTTAAACATATCGCCTGATAAGGATATATTAACATATGAAGATACACGTGCTTACGGCTTGTAAACGGAATTGCAGAAGTCAGCTTATGACAAAACAATCGCCTAAGATGAAGCAGAAATACTGGGCTGAAGGTGGCAGAGGCTTACAGCCTATCCTTGAAGAAAAGACAGAAAAGGGGCAGGAGGAGGAGGATACTATTCGGGGCAGCAACAACAGCAGGGTAAGTATTTAAATTCAATTCAAGTATTGACTTTTTGCACTACCACAACCAGAAAAATAGGCTGTTTGCTGTTCGCAAGCACAAATAAGGTATCTAAAAGTTTGTGACGATGGTACATTAATATCATTGTTGACTTTTTCGAAATTATCAGTCGTCCTATTTTTTTATTTAAAAACGCTTCGGAGACTGGACTGTGTCTCCGATTTCGGGTAAAATGCTACTCAGCTGGGCCCAATCGAAAGAGCTAGTCTCCATGACACTAGAACCAAAATATGACAGGATATATAAACAAAACACAACATAAACCATCAGCAGGATTTAAGGTAAATATTTAAAAGAACGCCCACAATCAAGACCTTGCAGCTATGGTATTACACAGATGCCTCATTTCAGTGTTTGATTCATCTTCTGTTAGGTCCTATTTTGTGTACAGAAATTTCTGTCTGCCTGAAATTCATCTGATCTTCGATACTTGTATATGTATGTAAATCTATTTTTATCTCATGTATGATTTTATATGCCGGTAGACTATGTTATGTCACTGAGTTTATGTTGTTTTGTTCTTTTAAAATTTGTTTCTGTAGTTTTTGCTTCTATTTTGATAGTACTCTGTTTTTTTCGGACTCTGGTTGTTAAATTATGCACGACCTCACGTGTGTTAAGTATTCTTAATGTTTGTCGTAACTCCCGCTGATGGATTTTGTTGTGTTTGGTTTATAATCCTGTCTTGTGTTGCTTCCGCTGCCTAGAAAAAGGGTCTAGCTCTAAAGATTGGGACCAACTGAGTAGGCTTTACCTGAGGAAGGAAACAGAGTCCTGTCTCCGAAACGTTGATTTTAAATAAAAAACAGGGCGACTGATAATTACCAAAATGTCAACACTGTATTAATATACCATCGTCACAAACTTTCAGATCCCTTATTTGTGCTTGCGAACAGCAAACAGCCCAGTACTCTGAAGGTGGAGGTGGTGACGACGACGACGACGGCGACGATAGTAGCTGCAGCAACACCACCACCACCACCATTAATGGAAGTACGTACGTTTAATACGTCCTTGAACCTACATTAACATATTTGGTTTAATTCGAACTCAATTAATCAATATCAGGTCTACGGTACTCCGGGATATGAACCCGCGGAGTATGGTACATAGGCAGACAATTTTCGAGGGAACCTGTTACCTCGAACTACGGGGTTGAACACATAACAGCAATGCGTCTGAGTTCATACAGGATGTTCCGATTCTTGAGGGCTCACTGTCGCCTATGTTGTCTCTCGTCATTCTTCTCGACCTGCTCGAAGAGCCAATAATTTAGCTCCTTTCCTAAATAACAACATTGTCTATGTGAACGTCGATTAAAATTAACTTAGGCTCCAGAACAAATTAGCAGATACGAAGTGCGCGCCTTTTGGCGTGTTACGTAGAGAGAGAAAACGCATCACGCATGCCTTAGTATACATACCCGTATGTGTTCTCTTGTGCGCCTTGAGATGCGAGCTCTTGGTGTACACTTTGTCGCAGCCCACCACATCACATCTGTGCACTTTGCGTCTCCTCAAACTGTCGCTGTAATCGGGTGGGGCGCTGGGCGACGCGGAACCACTGCGCATGCCGTTCTGCGCAGCAATCCTATTACTGGGGCTCACTACTGGCGGCTTGTGGAACACCCTGTAATATAAACAAGTTCGTATTTCATTACGTTGTACTACAGCTTCCGATATCGCGTCACTTATTTTCACTTCTTATTTCACAAGCTGCAATGTGAGACGATGAACTAAGAAGTGTTTTCCCCGTTTAGGTTGTGAAGGAAACCCATTACTGTGCTACGTCCGGAAATTACAGATGTGTATATGACACACAATAATTGACAGATTTTACTGAAACTGTGTACATGTGTCAATTGCATCCTGACGATACTCCATTCCTTGCTACTAACATTATCAATACAGCGAATCTGCGAATTTTCGGGGCGAAGATGGTCATACTTAATGTATGAATACTTTACACTCATTACATTTTGTGGTCTATGATTACCCTGCTGTATTACATTATGAAGAAAACGTAGACAAAACTACACATAGATAATATTTGTGTCTTCGCCAAAATTCAGAAGAATATTATATTACAGAGGATAATAATCAAATTTCTGAAGAAAAAATGCATCTGCCCTGCGTCTCGGTACTGTTTCCTTTACTTTTTATTTGTTTGATCAAGACAAAACTGAAATTGCCTCCTGTAGCTGTTGAGTTAGCGCGCCAAGTAAATGATTATACTGAACTCAAAAACTGGGAATGTTCTGAAGGATAACACTTGTAACATATCAAAATTAAATTTCATAAACTAGAGCAAATTAAGTTAGGGGAATTCCAGACATCACTCATTTCAGAATGGTTAGGTCCCCTGTCTGCTAGCTTAAACGCGAAGAGTCAATTATAAAAACTACAGATTTACCTATTTACGTGGGTGTGAAACTTGGTCTCTTTCATTAAGGAAAGGACACAGACTGAGGGCGACTGAGGAAACGGTGGCTGACAACAATATTTGGATGTAAGAAATATAAACCACATTTTTTAGAAAGTTGGACAAAATCTCAGACTGATGAATTTGACTATTTGTAACCTTCAACAAACACTATCAGAGTAATAAAATAAAGGAATATGAAATGGATGGGATGCATAGCATGCACGAGAGACGAGAAATGCACAGAAAATGTAGGCCGAAAAATATGGAGCGGAAAATATCAGTTGGAAGACCGTGGCATTAGTTAAGAGTATAATATTAAAATTAATCATAAAGAAACGGCGTGAGGATATGAACTGGATTTATCTGGGTCAGGACAGAGATCAGTTGCGTCCTCTTGTGAACATATAAATGAACCTCTGGGCTCCATTAAACGTGGTAAATATCGTGACAAACTGATAAGCTATTAGTTTCTTAACGAGAATTCTAATGAATGTTTCATATGAGGGAAGAATATGAACGAAGAATTTCTGAGAACAAGGGTTAAAATTTTGAATGAAGATAAACTGTCAAAACCACAAAATGTCATAATTTGCAATTCTGAAATAGAATTAATGCCCATATTTTTAAGGTGATATAGGAGGAGAATGTAGCATGCATGGAGGAAATGTGAAATAAATAGAAAATGTTGGTCGCAAAGTCTGAGAGGCTTAGGTATGAGTGGGAAGATGATATTAAAATACATGTTACAGAAACAGGCTCTGTACCGCGAAGTAACCTGAAGCTACCGTGATAATGCAGACATAGCTTCGGTTTTGGTAACGAGAGGCCAGCTATAGCGTCTAAACGGTGTTACGCTTTAAATTATTCTGACCTCTATGTGTCACAGGAAAACACAATTCTGCGTTTCATGCATTAACACACCTGGAATATCTTTAGTGACTGGTTACGTCACCATGCAACAGTAAACAAGCAAACAGAGAAATGCGATAGTTTGCGGTTGCACAAGAAGGTGGTGTAAGTTCCCCTAGTGAATTTAGAGAGTCAGTAGGAATGAATAGTAAAAAGTTAAGGTAAAGCTATCCCAGTAACAGTCCGCAGAAGCCCAGACGGGTGTGAGAGGTCGAGGCTCCCACAGTTTCTAGACAATCGGCTCACAGATGACGGTCAGGTTGTCAGCCTTACGCACCAGCAGCCCTTTAACCCAAAAAGTATCCTGGTACTCATTTCTGTCAGAGACTGAGTTGACCCCAGGGCCATAGTCCGGCTGGAAGCATTAGGTCAACTAAAAAATCCAATGACCTTACCGGGAATCGAACCCAGACCTTCAGGTTTGTAGCATAATGCCTCAACCAACTACGCTACCGCCTGCCTCAGGAATGAATAATTTTATGTTTATTTTGAGTGACAGAAACACACAATTTATGAGTGAAATCACACACACACATACAATCTGTAGCTGAAACATGTAAACATGTTAAAACACCTTAAATGCTCAACAGAACTCCTGTGTTTTCAACAGAAATAAACGTCTACTGGTATGATCCTCCTAGGACAAAAAGAAAACTTCGTGGTTTTAGTCCGCAAGCGAACTACACCGATAGAGCGACCGTCGCTTGCCGACGAAGTTAATGCCAACTTTAGCGGACAGAGGGTGTCGCGTGGTGAGCGCAACGAATCTCCACGGCCGTTAATTTCGGTTTTCTAGACCGGAACCGCTATATCCTTGAAATATCTCCTCAATTATCCTCATGAGGCTGAGTGAACCCCGTTCCAGATCCCCTACTTCTCAGAAAATCCGGTAGCACCGCGAATCGAACCCGGACCTGTGGATCTGTTGTCAGGAACTCTGACCACTAGACCACAGAGGCGGTTCCTCCTAGGACAGGAGATTTATTTAACCAACATAACCTCAACACAAAAAGTCGAGTTTCAATGTGCACAGAGATGAATAAAACAGGCCACTATGGACAAACTCATATTACAAACATCCTGATTCCATGGGCCTATCTATAATTATTAATAAATTTACAATAACTGAATATTTCAGAGAGTCAACATGTTGCTGGTTTCCGACTTAGGTGCACACGACCTTGAGGACTGTGTGACACATGTTTTAGAGAGTATACTATCAAACAAATTTCCAAGACCTTATATTTTATGACGCTGATGTATTTTCGACCTCGAATACTGGCAAGGCCGCCAACGGGAATGTTGAAGTTATATGATAGAAAGATAATGTCGAAGCGAATAATATACCGTTCAGTTTCGTTTTAACTACCACGAAAGGGTATAGAAATGGCGTTACCTGAAATATAATGTACATTTCTCATTTGTAAACCAGTCTACCAAAACTTTACCACTTACTTCGACGCAGTGTCGGAGTTAAAATACATGGGGCTGTACGTGTTAACGGCGCAGAGCTGAAGAACTTGGCCAGATTTAGCCTTCACATAATTGAAATGTGTTACTTCCAATAAAATTTCTCTCAAATCCTCATTGAAATCGTCAAGCCAATATTTCTCTGTATGAGGCGGTCTGCCTATTCCAGAGTTCAATTGTGTGTATTGCTGTTTTCAGGAGGTGCTTCTCCTCAGCGGTCGTGCAAAGTTGCATCTATCGGGAAGTTCATAACAGACTTGGGAGGGATGAAGGGATGAAGTGTGGGTAATTAATGGTATTACATAACACTAAAATTCGCGAAATTACATACGCTTATCAATATTGCTAAGGTAGTGAAGTCTAGGAAACGATGGGCTAGGCATATGTAAGTAGCAGGAATGCAAAAACGTAGATTAATGGTCGAGAAGCCATTTGAACACAGCCATTGGAATATAGATAAGGAGTTCTAAATCGAGTTGAATGAGATACACGCTAGGCGTCTCCCCCTTAACGGGTAACGCTTAACTCTTGGCTTTCGTGGGCTACGGCCCTTCTTTCACTGCTCTGCATTACATGCTAAACTATTGAAAGTTATGGATGATGAAGCTGTGATGATTCTTAGAGAAGTATTTTGTGAGGATCGGAAAGTGGATGGAACTGGCTCAGGATTGTGTCCACCAGCCGGCAGTCGTACCGATGCTGTACCACTGGGTTCTGCTACTAGATGTCGTACATTCTGGTAGATATTATTTTCTCCGTCTTTAGGGCACAAGACTCACTATTTTGCCCTGAAAATCGAGGAATGTTCCTCCAAAACGTCGGTATCTTACCAGAGTACCATAACGTCACGCCTCAGAGGACAGTATTTTCATGGCCAACATCGTAAGAATCTCAAATCCGTGCAAATAAACATTCTACAGTTTCAACACAGCTTTCTGTGACACAGCTTATGGCCGTAACGGTCTGTCACTTATTTACACCTTACGGTATGAATGTATGCCCAATGTTGGCAGGATAGCGTCATATTGTAACCTCAGACGTTGCTTAAGTCAGTGATTCTCAAACTTTTTCAGACCGCTGCCCGGTATATTCTTTTTTTTCTATAAGACGAGGGCCCAGTATAATTGATGCCGCGGCCCGGCGGTTTAGAAACATTGGCTTAAATGAAACCAAGAATATCCCGAATTTATTCCATCTCCAGTTCAAGCACAACTTCAGTCATATTTCTGTTATTACTTGCGAGGCTTGCAGTAAGCGATAAAACTTACATGGAGGCATCTTTTATCCTTTGCAGGGACAGGAGTGTGGTGGTGGAGCCGGTGTGTAGCTTCTCCAGGCAGTTCGCAAGGGACTCACTTGGAGGCGAAGTTTCTGTAACAAGACAAACATGACGCCGTGACAGCAACCTTAATCGGTAGTTCAACTGAGAAGTTACTCTTAAATTTTAGGCAATGTATATGGCAAAAACGAAAAGCATCTTGTGGAGAGATCATACGCCAGAGAATGTGTTCATGTTTCAATTTCAAAATCACTTGATGGAATTAACGGCAACTTGGTACTGGAGGTCGGCAATTAACACTGAGTTACGACTAATATATATACCTTTCAAAACTGGTACTTCGTCCTTGATGTCTCTGGTGTGTGGTGTGAAAACAAACCTGTCCTGCCAGGTCTTGATACTGTGAACTATCTGCAGAATCCGACAAATTATATTAATAATTAACTTGTGAACTATGTCAGGTACCACAAAATATAAAACAAAATTACGAAGTCAGAAGGAGAATGCCATCATGGAAAAATACTTAAACGTTAGAGGAACTTCAGTTTTGTCTACAAGGTTCTCAACTCCACCTAATATTATAAAGCATTTTAATCGTGTAATTAGTTAAATAAATACCGAACCGAAACAGGTTTGCAATAAATAACACAGGAAATTATTAACAAGATCAGTATTTCATATAACAGTTCAACGCTCATGGCTGTTCAGTATTTGTGTGGATCTTCTTTTTGGGTGACAGTGCCATTCAGAAAAAGTTGTACTGCTCTCGTTCTAGAGGCCCTTAGTGCCCCCCACCGGCAACAATATGAAGTGACTATTTAATGGTCCTTGGAGATATTAAACTAAGATCTACAATCGGACCTGTTCATCTGTAGGGATCTCTGAACAGTTGGCAATACCACTTAAGATTACATGATGACATTAACCGGCAACACGACCGGCGTTACATATTTCATGTTTTGGAAATATTATCTTTTCACACTGAAACACAGAGGCAGTTGGCTCAAGCAATAACCCGGGTTGAGTCCAAGGAGGCACACTGACTATCCAGATTAGGGTCTCTGTTCGTCTTCTAAGTCCCTCCAGGAAAATTTCAGGATAGTGCCTCAAATCAGAACACGATCGTTTCCTTCCACATATCTTCAAATTTATTATATGTTACTATCTTATTTTTCGGCGCACATCATCAGCTACCAGCAGCTGTTAAATATACCATAAATAACGGAATACAGTAAATATTTTTGAAAATTTTTATAAATTAGTTTTCATTTGTACATATTTCCATTCTACTTTAGTTTACCAAACGTAATGACGAAAAGCTTTTGCGATGTCAATAAAAACTTATGCGACTTTTAATGTTTCAGCAATAAATTCCACATAAACGGTTCTCCTGTAATGCGATGGACTTGCTTTATTTGTAAATGTAAATTTACAAACATTATAACGCTTACAGATGTTACGTTTTCTTCAAGACTCTTTCAGTTAGAGACAGTTAAAATACAATCCTTCTGAATTTCGACAGATTCGGAAAATGCTCTACCATGAACAGAGATTTCAATGCACGAACAGCACAGCAAGTTGAGGAGACGCTATGAAGAAAAAAGATGAAATGAAGTATCAGATAATTTATTAGATATGTGTAGCAGTCAGCTAGACATGTCAGCGGTCGTCAGTCCGTCAGGCCATGAGAATCTGATTACAACAAGTTGTTTGTCCGCTGTAATGGACCCGTCAAGTTCGTGCAGTACACAGTGCCACTTACATTTGTCACTGAGCAGCGAGCTGTTTCAGTTGCAGCTACCGCTAACACACAAGTAAAGTAAAGTTACTTTCCACAATTGTCCTCTCGGATGTGACGCCGTGGTCCCGTAGGGAGTCTGTCGGCTTTCAGGGGAACATGCTGCTTCCATTTTCAGGGTAGAAAAGTTCTACCCGAAAAATCTACCAAACTACAAGGTATCACATTCCGGGAAGACTGTAATCTTCATAGTCACCGCCGACTCAAAGCTCATAAACCTATCTTTGGAGGCCTCGAACCAGTTTTGCATGAGTTAACGTTATAGAGGAGTGCGTAGAACTGGTTGTTTGTTAGGAAATTCAATGACGTCACATCAACTGGATATGTTATATGACGTTGACTGTCTTTGCTAAGTAGGCCTAATTATTCTAATTTCAGATGCCGTAACGTCTTACCTGACGAAGGTTTATCGCGCGAGGCAAGTTATTTAAAAATGATCACATGGAAAAGTTGAGTAACTCCTTTAGTCGATATAAAGTTACCTACTTAAATTTCAGGCAAATGACTATGAATAGGTAAACTACTTGTGTGCGTCAGAGAGAGAGAGGACAGGAGAAGACATGGTTTTAAACAAAGCTGTATCAATCGAAAATTTGTATTGCGCCTCATTACAGGAAACCTATTCAGGTTCGTGTACCAGAGGCAGCCGGTTTGAATCTGAGGCCAAGGACCGTCAATCACGACCGTAAACACGTGCGTCATGTGGCGGCAGTATTCATGTCTGCAGGTCGTGGCATCGAAAGGGAATAGAGATGATCATATTGTGATATGACGCTCGAAAGCCGGAATAGTGAAATAAGAGGAGGCGTCCATTGCTAGGCAACTGCTCGATAAACACATTCCCGCGGCAACGAATACGCAAGAAACAATCGAATAACTTCCGTAGCTATGCAACGGTCCTGTAAACACGCCTTCTCGATAAGAATGAGACTGTGTTTTCTGCGTGATCCGTGCCGAGGAGTTATAAAAAGGACTAAGAAGATTGTTTGAATTAGTTGATTTTGGAGACGCCAACATTCCAGGATATGAGCTTGGGAGCAGAGGAATTAAAACTGAGAGTGAGTCCATTGGCAGTTGGCAGAATAATGGAAAGAAGACTTCGTGTGTGCTGCAGTTACAGAGACTGGTATAATTACTGTTCTGAAATCCGTTGTCAGGACACGATTGGTGAAGACAGAATTCTAGCGCTGTATTACCAGTAATCCCGAGTTGAATGTATAAGGCGTCAATAAATTCAATCATCCGATCCAAACCCCGTCTATAAGTCACGCACATCCATACACGTGACAATATACAGTGAACGAAACGGCGACACAAGGAGCGGGGGTGACATATTGCATGTTTCCGATCAGACATGCAGTTGGATAAGCTGAGGAAAAGCAAGGAACAATGCATTATATAGGGACTGTAGAACATGAAGCACGCCTCATGTGCATTACATAGGGACTGTCGAGCATGAAGCACTCCTCGTGTGCATTACGGACGGTCTGTCAAGCATGAAACACGCCTCGTGTGCACTACACAGGGACTGTCGAGCATGAAGCACGCCTCGTGTGCACTACATAGGGACTGTCTAGTATGAAGCACGCCTCGTGTGCACTACATAGGGACTGTCGAGCATGAAACACGCCTCGTGTGCATTACGGAGGGTTTGTCGAGCATGAAGCACGCTTCGTCTCTATCACATAGTGACTGTCGAGCATGAAGCAGGCCCAGTGTGCACTACATAGATATTGCTGAGAGTGACGCAGACAAGGTGTATTCTGTACAGCTACTGTCGAGCATAAACCAGACCTGGTGTAGATTACACGGGGACTAGAGCACAGAGCAAGCCTGCTGTGCATTAATCGGCGACTGTCAAGTACAATGCAGGAATGATGCTAATTAAAACACAACTGGGTTTTCTTGTGTTTCTTGGATTTATCGGTATTTTCAACCATCACTTACTCACTCAGCCGTTTTCATTCAGCGTTCTTTAAGACTATCACACTTCATTAGATTCTAAAATGTCTGAAAAATGTAATAAGATTAATAATTAAAAATAATACTGCATCCTAAAGGTTAAAAGCGCCGGTCACGGTAGCCGAGCGGTCTAAGGCATGTACTGTCTTCCCTCGGTTGGAAACCGGGATCGTGGGTTCGACTCCCACTCAGGGCATGGATGTTCAGTTTATGTGTGTGCGTTTTTCTGTGTTTGTGTACAAGTAGAAACCTTGCGACGAGTTGATCACCCGCCCAAGGGGTACCGAATGTGTAAGATCTAGAAAAACCGAAGTGAACGGAGAAGTTCATGGAGGTAGGCCTAGGCCCACTGGGGCTTTAGTGCGAAGGGGGGAAAGGTTGAAAGCACACAGTTCATTAAATTGTCACGGCAGGCAAAGCTGTTCCACTACATTTCATCTTGCAAGTCTGGATACGAACCCCATTTTCTACAAATACTTTTTATATTTTTCATGTAGTCCAATGGTCACTACGTTTTCAAACGTTAATGAAGCAGACAGCTGGAACTGCAACAGTTTTATGGAATCGCCTAGCTAGACAGGTCGCTGTAAAACATTGCAGTATCACTATGATCACTGTTATCACATGACAGCCACCCAGCTGGCGACACACCCAGTCAAGCCATGTGAGCATGACTTATCAGCGGCGAAGACGTGAGAAACACACTAATACATTACGTCAGGTGGATATGCAAATGTGCGAGCCTCTTAGTGCAGCAGCGGCATAACGGACCACACAGCTTCAGCGATGGTCGTCAGTTGGAAGACAAGACATATGCGTGTGATTAAAGCGTTAATAATGGTTGCGTTCCTTACCCCTGAAATTAACGCCTAGTAACATTTTTACAAGAACCTTAACGCATCCGAGAATACAAATACAATTAAATGCTTGTTAAGCATTTATTTAATCATAAACTCTGCCCGAAACTATTTTCGATTCGGTGAATTACAAATTAAAAGAGTCCAGATCCACAAACAAATTTGGAAGCCTAACTGTAACACACGCCCACGTCCATGTCACAGTAAGCCCATACGGAATATCCGTTGAGTAATGAAACTGATAAGGAGTAGAATGAGAAAACTGCCGGACAAAATATTTTAAAATTCAAGTCGCAATTTGAAATGCCAAACTTCGGGCAGGAACGAAGACCGTCAGGGCTGCGTGACTCCCACGATAATCAGTGTTTATATTCGCACACAAACTATGTACAGACTATGAAGAAAGCAGTCTTATGGGATGTGGCACACTGTAGATGTGGGTTTTAACAGACGTTTCGGAGGAACATATCGCCTC